GCCCAGCCCACCCCGCCGGCCAATCGCGGGCCGGCGCCGCAGGGACGGAGCCAATGAGCGACGAGCTCCTTCCGGGTGGGCGGGCGGAGCCAGCCGCTGTCGCCCGCGGCCGCCGCGCCCTGCGTACCGGCCGCCGGCAGCCATTTTCCGCTTGCCGCAGTGCAGAGTCCCCACCCTCCCAGCGTCTGGTCTCCTAGCAACTAGCTCCTTGCAGTCTGATCTTAGGGGACCAACTGTGAGTCCAGAAGAAAGGGGGATAGATGGAGACAAAAGAGCTGGGGTACAGAATGGAGGAGATGGTTTGCAGTGCAGATCACTTCGGCGTACCTGCTTAGGTATCGTGAGTGAAGCAGTGTGTTCAGGGGGCAGCTCGTAAGAAATCTAACAGCTCTGGATTACAAATTCGGTTTTCATGGTAATTGGTCCAGCATGTGTGTGTTAGATGTCTAAGGCTCAGTTTTGTAGGGTAAATGCTACATGTCAGTACTTTTAATTTCCATATGAGATGTATCTCTTCTGAGAACCAAAACTGAATGTTAGGATCAGAAAGGACGGGAAAAGCGAAGCCCTCTCCTCAATGAAGAATTACTAAAATGAGATCTGATGATTCAGTATAGATTAAGTGGCTCACGTACAGAACGTCAGACTAGTTCCAATTGTATCACCTGTGACTTTCTGCAAACCTTTTAATATTTTTGTTCCACAAAGACATTAAAGTTAGGCAAGCTTTGCACCGCAGAGATATTAGGTAAATTCGTGAGAAGCGGCTGTGTACCCGCTGCGTCCTCTTTATCTCCTTTTACACAGGGTAGAACTCAGCTGTGGTGGTGGTGAGCCAGCTTAAACCACGATGGAGAGAGTTCTCCACAAAGGACTGCAGAGCAATGACAGAAGGAACCTGGGCCCTGGATTACCCTGTGAAGCAGAGCTGCCCAACAGACCCAGGCTGCCTGCCTGTCTTTAGGTTTTACATGAGAGAAACATGTTTATCTTGCTTTCCTATTGGATTTTTTTAAATTTCTGTTAGTGCAGCTCAAAGCCAGTTGCCATCCAGTAGATTCTGACTCAGGGTGACCCCATGTGTGTCAGAGTAGAACTGTGCTTCATCAGGTCCTCAGTGGCTGATTTTTTGGAAGTAGAGCTAAGACTTCCATCTCTTTCTCTCCAAGTCTTACCCTTTTGTCTTCATAAGCTCATCTATTCCTGTATTGGTTTTAGACAGTCTAAGTTGTTTTAACACCATTGCCATCAAGTCGATTCTGATTTACAGCAATCGGTTCCCAAGGCTGTAATCCTTTATGGAAGCAGACCGCTACATCTTTCTGCCACAGAGCAGCTGGTAGATTTGAACCACTGACCTTTTGGTTAGCAGCTGAGCACTTAACCACTGCCACCAGGGCTTCAAAACCAAAACTAAACCCACTGCCATTGATTCCAACTCATAGTGACCCTATAGGACAGAGTAGAACTGCCCCATAGGGTTTCCAAGGAGCGGCTGGTGGATTTGAACTGCCTACCTTTTGGTTAGCAGCTGTACCTCTTAACCACTGTGCCACCAGGACTCCATACAAAAAAACTGTAACAATTGAAAAACAAAGTGTCCAGACTGCAAGTCCTACATGGTATCGTCACGTGTGTGTGCGGCAGTTCTGTGCCTAGCACTGCAGAATCTTGACTGCTTCTTGCTGAACAGTGTCTCTTCCTCTTGTCCCTCAGTACCTGTGCTAGGAAACAAGTCATCACTGAGTCAGTTCCGACTCAGGGCGACCCTAAGTGTTGGCAGAGTAGAGCTGTGCTCCGCAGGGTTTTCAGTGGTCGTGCTCTTTTGGAAGCAGATCAACGGGTCTTTCTTCTGAGATGCCTCTGGGCACTTAACCTTAAAAAAATTAAATATCAAATAAATCAAAACCCACACTTCTCACTTCTCTGTTCAGTTCTGACACCATCTGCCCACACAGTACTTCCTTCTCGGGTCCTAGCCACCCAAAGTAGGTCAGATCTCACAAGTTAAAAGAATACCGTCTTCAGACTGCCAAATACGCAGACGTCATCCACAAGTTTGGAAGTCCTCATGACACCCTAACTTCTGACCTATTGACTATAAATTTGTGATTTCCCACTACCCCTTCAGTGTGCCAGCCACAAGCTCAGGGGCTTTCTCTGGGTCCCTCACTGCTGACCTGCTGGTTACAAATTCGGGGCTTCCTTCTACCCTTTTATGAGGACAACTATAAGCTCAGGAGCCCCCCCAGGGCTGCCTCACTTCTGACCTACTGACTTCCACTACTCCTTTGGGTTTGATAATTCACTGGAACTCAGAGAACTCATGACGTGGTATACTTAGATTACAGCTTTATTACAGCAAAAAAGGATACAGACACACAGGCAATGTCTGGGAGGGTTCCCACGTGGTACTTCTATGTCCCAAAGGACACAAGACCTTCCCACGTGCATCCATGTTTTTCACCAACCAGGAAGCCCATGGAGCTTCCCTGTCCAGAGTTTTTATCAGCTTCATTAAGTCCTGGTTGATTGGATCAGCTCCTCCCTCCCCTGAAGTCAGCTGTTAACAGGCCATGTGGTGGTCTTTCTGGTCAGGCCAGCCCTCACCCATTAGCACAAATCCTCAGGAACAGTTAACAAAGGCACCTCAATTACTCTGGAAATTCCAAGAGTTTAAGAGTTCTCTCTCAGGAACCAAGGACAAAGGCCAAATTACCAAAACCAAAAACCAAACCCACACCCACTGCCTTCAGGTCTATTCCAACTCATAGCGACCCTACAGGACAGAGTAGAACGGCCCTACAGGGTTCCCAAGGCCATAAATCTTTAGGGCAGCAGACTGCCACGCCTTTCTCCCGTAGAGCAGCTGGTGGGTTTGCTGACGGGTTCCAACTTCTGACCTTTCGGTTAGCAGCCAAGCGCTTAACCACTGCACCACCACGGCTCAAGGCCAAATTACTTGAGGTGAAGTAATTCCTTACCCCACAGCCACTCAGGGACTCAGTGCTAGAAATTGGTAGAGATAATTTCACACTCTTCTAATAGACTGGTACACTAGAATATTCCTGTTTCTAGAGGACACTGTTTCACTTGATCCTCTTAAGCAGAGGCCTTAGAGATAGCTCCTGATTCACAACTGTATCCTGATGAACAAGGTTAACAAGTGTTTATCACCCTTAACAGAAGCTCACACAGCATCCTTTAGTTCTCTCAACAACTCAGTGAAGTAGGTATGAATTATCTCCATTTTATTGATGAGGAAAGGAGGCACAGAAGTTAATTTCTCCAGGAAGTTAACCAGAAAGTGGCAGAGCTGTGATTCAAATTAAGAATTGACCCCACATTTAACAATGTGACAAGGTGAAATATTCAGCCCTTGAAAATGTTGGAGATAAGGAAAATAAACGAAGACCTTTTGATTTGGTGCTCACAATTATCTTTATTAGTTACCAGGATTCCTACTTAATATCATTTTCCAGTAATGTATGAAACATCTCGATCCATTCTGAACTTAATAAATATTAGTAAATTTCAAATTAAAAATGTAGCCATTCACATTAAGAAATTCATTTTGGTTGTTTTTTTAAAAAAGCTTGTTTCCACAAGCAAGTGGAAGAACCATGAAGTATTATACACTTAATCATTAACACAATGGTAGAGGAGTAGGTTTTCCTGGTTAACTGAGGAGCTTATTGCCATGTATCATATAGGGACTGGATGAGACCAATTTTCAAAGAATATTGCCAAAGAACAAAAAAGCACACAGAACCACACTATTACAAGTGTAATCTGCTTTTTTCTCTGATGAGTCAGAAGACACTTAGGGATCTTTCTAAATTTTAAAGCAGAAGTTTCCAAAATGCCTGTCTCAGTTTAAGGACCTGTGAAGATCTGTGATAAAACAAGAAAAACAAGATGAAATAAACGTGCATGCTGCTGTATTAAGTTTGCCAACTTCATAAAGAACTGTTCTCTTTTTCTGAAATTATGCCTTTTCTACTTCCTGGCATTCATATTCTTTCTTCATTGCTGGTT